GGGGCGATATGCTGACTCTGTAAACCGCTTAGAGAGGGCTGGAAGCCCTATGAAGCGGTATATAAGTCTAACTGCTATTGCTATTGCTATTGCTTTTGCTATAGATTCGCTCTGGGACGTCTGAAAGATTTTGCAAACGATGCCCGATTCTTTTATGGGATTTGGGTACTTTTGCTACTGTTAGGACAGACTGTTTGGTCCCCGTAATTCTTTCCTACTGGCTGTATTTTTTAAAAATTAAAAATGCACTCTTTTTAAAATTCTGCCTGAGGAGCCGAGAGGCGCATTAAACTGCTCCAAAGAAAGAAACTGAATGGCACGAACGGTTGCATTGGAGTGAAGCGTTCCGCTGCAGCGATGAGAATGCCTCCTCACGGCCGCAGCCTCTGCCCTTGGCTGCTCCCTTCAGCTCTCCATGCTCTTAGAACGGTGGCAAAGCTCAGAAATGCTCGAGGGTCTACGCTCCATGGACGGGGGGGGGGGGAGGGGAGGGGGGCTGGGCCCAGCACAAGAGCTCTCCGGGCTGAGGAAGCAGGAGATACTCACGTCTGTGGAGGTCACAGTCAGCACTCGGTCCAGGTCTTCGACCAGCTGCTTAAAGGTTGGCCGCTGAGAAGGCACCGCGTGCCAGCACTCACGCATGATCATGTACCTGGGGAAGAGGAGGGGCTGGTCAGCACCGCTGAGGAAGGGGCCCTGGAGAGCCCCCAAGCTCCCCCTCAGCACGGCAACACCTTGGTCGGCTGCCCAGGTTTCTACACACGGCAAAAACAATCCCGAAGGGCCCGGACCCTCTAAGAGACCCCCGCAAGAAGAGGTCTTAGATTTATAACCCTCATGGATGGCAGGAAAGTCCAAGGGAGCCTCCATGTTGGTCCCTCTCCTTGTTTTTCCTCACGACAATCACCCTGTGAGGTGGGCTGGACTGAGAGAGAGGGAGAGAAGGAGGGAGGGAGACGGAGAAGGAGGGAGAGAGAAGAGAGAGAGGGAAAGGGAGAGAGAAGGAAAAAGGGAGAGAGGGAAGGAGAGATAGAGAGAGGAAAAAGAGAAGGAAAGAGGGAGAGAGGGAGGGAAAAGGAGAGAGGAGGAGAGGGAGTGAGAGAGAGAGGGGAAGGGAGAAAGAGAGGAAAGAGAGAAGGGAGAGAGAGAAGGAGGGAGAGAGAAGGAAAGAGGCAGAGAGGGAAGGAGAGAGGGAAAAAGAGGAGAGGGGGAGGGAGAGAGGGAGAGGGAAAAGGAGGGAGAGAGGGAAAGGGAAAGAGGAAAAAGGGAGAGGGAAGGAGATATAGAGAGAGGAAAAAGAGAAGGAAAGAGGGAGAGAGGGAGGGAAAAGGAAAGAGAAGGAGAGGGAGTGAGGGAAAGAGGGCAAGGGAGAAAGAGAGGAAAGAGAGAAGGGAGAGAGAGAAGGAGGGAGAGAGAAGGAAAGAGGCAGAGAGGGAAGGAGAGAGGGAAAAAGAGGAGAGGGGGAGGGAGAGAGGGAGAGGGAAAAGGAGGGAGAGAGGGAAAGGGAAAGAGGAAAAAGGGAGAGGGAAGGAGATATAGAGAGAGGAAAAAGCGAAGGAAAGAGGGAGAGAGGGAGGGAAAAGGAAAGAGAAGGAGAGGGAGTGAGGGAAAGAGGGCAAGGGAGAAAGAGAGGAAAGAGAGAAGGGAGAGAGAGAGAAGGAGAGAGGGAGAGAGAAGGAAAGAGGCAGAGAGGGAAGGAGAGAGGGAAAAAGAGGAGAGGGGGAGGGAGAGGGGGAGAGGGAAAAGGAGGGAGAGAGGGAAAGGGAAAGAGGAAAAAGGGAGAGGGAAGGAGATATAGAGAGNTTAATTATCATGTAAAGGAGTAAATCACATGCCTCAACTTTATATGCTCCACATAACAATTTCTAAATATCTGATTTTTCCCTAACAAGTCTTTTGTCCCAATTCTCTATTCCTGTCGCCTCCCTGTTCTTTGTTGGGACATGTCCACCATTTTCAATTTTCCCCAAGCCACTGTCAAACCCAGTGAAATCTTTTTTTTTCTTTTTATTTCCCTTTGTTACGACATATCCCCCTTTTTCAATTTTCCCTATACCACTCTCAAGCCCACTGAAATCTTTCTACCATTTCACCAAAATTTTAATCTGATGGTTAGAAGAAAGAAAGCACGATATATCCTCTTCATTCTGCTGTATGAAACCTGTCTTCCATACAGTAGATGTATAACATTTATGTTTCTTTTGTTTTGGATATTTATCAGTGTAATGTAATAAAATAGTAATTTCATGCTACAAAGATGTGAATGTTGATTTATTTCAGTTTAGGATAGTATTGCAAAATTAGAAAGAATAACAGTTGGAAAAAATATTGTTTTCCTAAGTCATTTTATTATTTATTGAAAGGGAAGTGCCCCTCTATAAATTAGTCTAAGGTTTGTAGCAATCATATTTTTTTTAAATAAAAACCTATGGATAACAATTGAAAAACTAGCTATTTTATATTTTATCCTCTGGTGTTATCTCAGCAAAAGGAAATTGGATAAGAGATGTAATTGATTCAATTAAACTAAATGCCACTGCTTCCTATGTGGGCCCATTACCTTCTATAACTTTTTCTTGCTTTACCATAAGATGTGGTACTGGCTTCTAGCTTAGTTGTCTTCAAAAAAGGTTGGGTGAATTCATGAAAGTCATGAGAATTAATGATCATTAGCCTTGAGAGCAGTATGGTTACCTATGAAGGTCATTTGGGGAGATTAGGAGGAAAAGTACTAGAACAATTACCTTTCACATCCAGTCCCCTGAGCTGCCCCCAAAAGGTGACATACTTGATGGTAAATCTTCTGAGAGATTAAGGAGGTCCAGGGTGGATGTAGCGCCTCATCTCAGAAGTTATTGTCACGGACCCCCAGTGCCATCTCAGTATTACAAGCAAGTCTGAATTCTGATAGAAAAGAGTCCATATAATTTGTTTCTTCTGGGACCTTCTAAAATTGCAGACCAGCCAGCTTTTCAACAACTTTTCCTATAACTGTAAGATTGGAGGCTAGATGAAAAGTGTCCAGTTCCATTGAGTATAGCAATTGCCTCAAGAGGGTGGATGATTGCTTCCTGTAGACATCACACCTCCCACAAGGAGGGATTAAATATTTCATGGCTCCAATTACATGTCACTCCTGGGAAGCCTTAACCACCCAGGAGTGACGTGTATCTGTACCACAGATAGTTGAACTCACAGCTTGAAGGACTCAGTCCATTTCATCGGAACTAATAGAGTCACAGATAACTGTGAAAACTGCACAACAGGTGCCTTCATATGACGTGAACAGCTAGTCTACCACTCAGAATGAATCTGAGTCATTTTATCTGACAGGTGCCAGAATAGTCCACACAGGAGCCTGTAAATCTTTCCCTCAGCCTAGAGGACAGAGGTCTTCAAACCTGGCAACTTTAAGACTTGTGGACTTCAATTCCCAGAATTCTCCAGCCAGCTCTGCTGGGAGTTGAAGTCCACAAGTCGTAAAGTTGCCAAATTTGAAGACCTGTGACCTAGAGTGACCAGATCACCTTAAACAACTTAAAACATACTTTTGACAGAAAAATATTTTTGCTGCCCTTATTGTATAATCCTTATTATGAAAGAATATTGCATCAAAGGATCCAGGGTTCTTGCTTTCTTCTGCAACAAAAAATGCTCCTTCCTTTTGCAATTACGCCTTTCAAAGGAGGGAGTATACAAAGAGTAGGTTTCTCATGCTCAAAGTCTCTTCCATAAGTTCAGCCTTGAAGTGAATAGGAGATAGAGACACTGGGAACAAATAGAATAGAAGTGTATTTCCAAAGCCATCAGGAGACTTAGTCCGGATGACATTTAACTGTATTTGAAAGATATTTCCTAATTTCTAATGCCATCACATTTTTTTCTCTCTTCTTCACTAAGTCCACAAGAACAATGCAGATCTTAATTATGTTGAGACTATTTTTTAATAGATCTTTGAAGATATATCCTTTTCCTTTGTGTTCTTTGAATTGATCAGTTTAGCCTAGGTCAGTGATGGCTAACCTTTTTGTCTTCGTATGCCGAAAGTGCGCATGTGGGTGAGACAGCATGCACGTGCCCACACCCATAATACAATGTGCGTGCGCCCCCCCCCCTGTGCCCGGCTCCCCTGCACACACGCCCCGTGTGTGATTCCCCCATTTTGGGCCTAGCCGGCCTCCCTGAAGGGCCCTAGGACCAAAAATGGGGCAGGAGGGAGCGTGGGGAAGTGCTCCCCATGCTTCCCCCCACCCCCATGGATATGCACACTGTTACAG